GAGACACTCTTTCTTCATGTGCCTAAATTTCTTGCAAAAGAAACAGGTAGGAGTTTTCTCTTCCTTTTTGGCTTTTTTTAGCTGAAAAGTCCTTTCTACAACATCCTTATAATTCTTTCTCTTCTTATTCTGAGAGCTTGAGGTCAAATGAGCACTTTCAGCTTTTTCTCTTTGTTGCCTTTCCTCCTCTTACACACAGTGAAAAATTAGTTCGTTCAAGGTCCATTTATCTTTCTAAGTATTATAACTCACCTTGAACTGCCCAAATTGTGGAGGAAGGAAAATCAAAACTAAGTGCACGAGTAAGTCATTAGACAACTCTAATTTTAGTGCTTTCAGTTTTGATGCAAGATTAGACATTTTCGTAATATACTACCTTATGTTTCCTTTGCCTTTGTATCTCATAAAGATAAGCTTGGCAAGTAGACTACTTGCATCAGCCTTCTCATTACCGGTAAAATACTTCTCAACAATATCAAGAAAACCTTTAGCGCTCTTACTCTCAGAAATAGAGCCTTAAAAAACTTCTAGAATAGATCGCTTCATGATCATCAAGTACATTCAGTTTGAGTGTTCCTACTTTTCAACCTTATCCTCCTCCGATTTCGTTGGAGTTGGAGTAGGTTTATTAGCTTGAAGTGCCAGATCAAGATCCATGCAACCAAGAATAATCTCGACTGATTCCTTCCAGACCTTAAAATTTGTCCCATTAAGCATAGGGATGCTATTGATTTGAGTAGACATGTTAGCAACACTAGCAATAGTAACTATAATATAATGTAGTCATAATTAATTACATGCTTATGAATAGTAAATAATAAATAGTGATTAAGTATAAATAATATAAAAAAATTATTATAGATCCAACAAGATACCAAGCACTCCACCAACCCCAAATGCTTTTGGGCATGAAAGTTGGTTTGTAAATGGTACTCTCACGCAACGATCAAATATTGACAGTCGGTTCTGTAAGGTAAAAAACCATCTTTGCACAAAAGATCACCCATATGAATAAATAACTTTATAACTGTCGTAAATTTATTGTCATAAGCATGAGAATATTTGGTCAAATTGTGTCTCACCTTTGGGTAGAAGCACAACCCACATGAATAACCCCATACCAATATCCATGTAATTTTTAAGTAAATCAATTTCTATAATAGAGATTGCTTTAGCAATATATCACATCAACTAATTTAATTAAAAGTTACTAGATAAATAATAATAAAAAAAAGGATCTATAATCTGCCAAATAAAAATTTACTCATGCAACGATAATGTCTTTATAGATATAAATTGCATATGAGCGACTCAAAGTCAACATCCTTATAAATATTTGCAACAAATATATGATTCCAAAGAATGCCAAACATTATTAATAAAATAATAATAATAATAATAATAATAATCATGCGACACATGTTATCATAAATGTATAAATTACGCATAAGCATTTAGAAATATACATATTATTAAGTGTTTGAACTTCAAACCCAAAAAATCAGATGAACCTAAAAGGAATAAAATAAAACCAAATTATTCCTGGAAAGTAGAAATTAATCAATCTTAAAATCCAATAATCTAACAGTAATGGAGCTCTGATACCACTTGTTAGAAATTTTCCTTTTGAAGCATATGGGATTTCAAATAAAACTTAAGTACCATTACTTCAAATTATCAAATAGAGATAGGAGGTTTTAGGAATACGTGGATCGATTGACGTTGATCAGAGGTTGCAGAGGAATAGCCTTTTGTTGCAATGCTCTTCCTCAGCCAAAATCACTGGATTCTTTAATAGGACTTGATATTTCTTTTGTAATGGGGAGACAGAGAGATGTTTCTTATTTTAGCATATTAGGGACCATGACCAACTTTATGATTTTAAACCTATTAGGGTTCCCATCAACCCCTAACGGGCCAAATCTAGTCTCCACTTATTGAGCGCATATTCCTTTATTCATATTATTTATTTTTAATTAGTAGTTTAAAGGCTTACCAAAAATAGATCACTTTTATTAAGGCTAATAAAATGTAAATAGCTAATAAAAATAGTATAAATAATATGTATTGCCCACATTAACTATTAGAAATAAAATTTCTAATAGTCTAACCATCAGCATATTGTATAAAATTATGTGCTTATATGTTTCTGTCTTGTGAATATGTGTTGAAATGATAGAACATGATGATTGTATTGAACTTGTAATGATATGTGTAATTGAGAAGTTTGTTATTATGTGAGAGTGATATAAAAGGTATCATATCCTATTTGTGTGAGTTGGGTTAGGTTTCAATAAATATGAATATTTGAGAATTCTGAGAAAGTATAAAATTGATTATGTGAGAAAATAGAAATTGTGAAATTGAAAATGATGTTTAAGGTCATATATGCGAATTGGAAATTGTATATATTATCAAAAGAAAAGGAAATTGTGTGATATGAAAAGTGATGAATATTTGTGGAGAAAAGAGAAAGGAATACTAGTACGTGTGTCACAAATATGCCATTTGGTGCTATTATAATATATGCGTTATAATACACCAATGAGTGAGATTATAACACATGTTGTAGTACATCAATTAGTGCGTTTGCAACATATGTATTAGAATAGTATAACTTGATGTGCTACTGTTGAGATACTATATAGATAATTCAGGGATACACTAAAGGTATAGGGTTTAGAGTTGATTATGAAAATATGGGGGAAATGAGAATGGTAAATGCAGTTCACTGACGTGTACACGATGTATAAGTGGGATGCATTTACAGGCCTCCCACTCATTTCTTAACCAAACTCCTAAATATACCTTTGCTTGGAAGGCTGTGAACACATATGTTGTATCCGTGTGTAGTTTAGCTAACCATCGACTATCCATGCTGCATAAGTCCTTCGTAACTAGGGAGAGTACATTGGCAGTACTTTGGGGGCCGTGAGTACCTAGAAGTACTCTTATTTGATGAATATTTTGGAATTGAAATGATTAAAGTAACATGAGTTGAGAAAATGGATGATCGTGTTGATAAAGGAGAAATAGACATTAATTGATTGAGTGATGAATGGATGTTTGGCATAATATGAATAATTTTATTTAGTTAAACCTGTTAACAATAGAATAGGTCTATTTGTTATATGTTGTATTGGAAATGTTTCTGTTTTATTTTTATTTTATGAAATAAAAATTTTGTGGGACAAGGAATGCTTACCCTTACAAACTTTTCAAGTAATGAAGAGATAAAAAGGAGATTGATCCATTCTAGAATCATACTTGCAAGGAATAATAGGAAAAGAACTGCTCTGCAGGATTTAGTTTATTGGAAAAATTGTAATAATGTTATTAATTGAGTTTCTATTCTAAATTATTTATAATATGTAATTATTTTAAATAATGATTCAAAGTACAGGTGTAATATTTAGCAATTATTCATTACTATAAAATTTTAGCTTTTTTTTAATTGTGAATATATAATCTCAAAATTAATTCTATTATGAATGGGATTTATATGTATGAAATTCTAAATTTTGCTTATTTTCATCAATTCAAATTTTATATACATACAAAAAAAAAATCTTCTCTATATTTATTTATCTTTTACTCATTTTAATCACATCATATTGATATTTCTATTTTTAAAGGAGAAAATTATTTGAATAAATAAAGGAAGTTACATTATTGTTTGTCTTTGCAAAGATTATAGAGTATGCATGTTGTGGTATTGTAAGAGGATGTACTCTAACTAGGAAGATTTTGAGATTATGATTTGTATGTTTATGATTATTTATCAATATATATTTTTTATTGTTTGAATTAAATTATATTATACATAAGGAAATGTTCATACATTAGGGAAAGATTCAATCAAAATTTATATTAAAAATTTGTGTAATGTAAAACAAAAGATGTTTATATAGTGTTGTGTGCTATGATATTTTGGACTAACCAAATATTATCTTTCAGTTAGAAATGATAGATAAAGGTAAAGGTAAGAAAAGTGCTACTTAATATCTTAGTCATGGTAGTAGTAGCAACACCCCTTCACTTATTGCTCCTACTTTCATCTCCACTCCAGCTGCAGTGCAGACCTACTAGGTTAGGGGCAGAAGCAATGCATCATGGTGCCCAACCGTGGGTATGTATCTCCTCTTCCTCCAGCTTGCACTATCAACTACATAAACCACATCATTCCCCTCTACACAACACACAAGCGAGGGATCCAATGTTGTTGCATCTTCCTTTGGACAACAATCATAGACCCATGCACCCTCTAGAGTGCTTCTAGGTTTGAGATTGAATGGATCCACTTATTTTATGTTGTCATTATCTATTATATAATGTATTTCTATTATGTGTTTAGTTGGTATCCACTAAGTCACTGATACCATTAAAAATATGTATGATGAGCCTTACAACAGTTTTGCTACGGATAAAAAGGTGGAGTAGTACAAAGATTATAAGGTAATAATAGTCAATTGATTTATTTTAAATCTAACTAGATCTCTAATTTTTTTTACTTTGATTAATTAATTTCTATTTATGTAGAGCCACTTCATCATTCTCCCAAGACAAGAAGATGATTTTCAAGGCCTAGAAGAGTCATACTGCAAATCGACTAAGACAAATGTACATTAAAGCCTATCAAGACTTGTCATGTGAAAATTGGATAGCATCCAACTTTCTTCATGCCTTGCAAGAGTACTGGCATACAATTTATTTTCAAAACCTATGCATAGAGAGGTGTTCAAGAAGACGCATGCTTGCAAGGGAGACAACACCTCGTGGATTGGTATTCAGACAACATATGTAAGTATGGTTTTCTCAAATTATATTTTTTATTAAATAATTTAAAAAAATTTAGCTTAATATATAATTATCTACACTAAATTGTAGGGTGACTATGTCCAAAGGGTGAAGGTTGCATCTACTAAGGACACAGAGTTTGTTGATAAGGACATTGTGTGATCAAAGATGGTAGCAATTTTTATAGATGTTGCATTTATGGCATGGAGGCTGCTTTGCAGACTCTATCATTGGGGAAGCCCCTTCTCTTGCACTTAGGGAGGGTGGAGGATATAGTCCGTATTCAAGTTCATGCCCTAAATGAATAGCTCTAGAAGAAAAATGAGAAGATGTGAAAAAATAAAGAGACTACATGGAAGAAGAAGTTGGTCAAGAAATGAACATGGCAGTGACTGTTGGGTAGAGAAGAAAAGAAATATCACCTTTACCCCTTGCGTTTCTCATAGCTATCCCATAGGAATCCACAACCATCACTACACACCTGGGCTCTACCCAAACCGATGAACTTTTTACTATATCTCCACACTAGTATGATATTGTCCACTTTGAACCTAAGCTTCATGGTTTTGTTTTTGGACATCATCCAAAAGGCTTCGTACTAATAGAGATCTACTATATTTATATGCCCTTGATCCTCTCTAATTCTAATCAATGTGAAACTTTGTTTACACATCCCAACAATGACAACTATGTCTCTATGGATGTCCACAAGAACAATTTATAATTATTTTTTCCATAAAGGTGGCTTGAGTTTGACATCTTATGTTCTATTTATAAACACATTGAGATGACTAACCATAATTTTGTCTTACTATGACTAGGCTCATATTTGATGAATCTAACACAATAAGATAATATTTTAGTTTAACAAAAATATTACTTTCCTAAGAAGTTTGTTCTATGTTTGTGACCTTGTATGTATTTTATATATTATGTTATATTGAATAGAAATATTCAGAGTCTTAGTGTATATACCAACTATAGGTATTCCACTCAAAGATACCTAACATAGTAATGTTATATTCATAAGATTATAGAAAAAGTATCATTAGTGTAATTATGTTTAGAATGAATCCTTACATCATTGATGGAATAGAAGCTCTTTTGATGGTTCAAGAAGAAAGCATTAAGAATAGAAAGAATAATGATCTTCCTTTCCCTATTCAAGAAAATCATGCACATAATCACAACAAAAAAAGTCAATTTCAATTTTGGAGGAGGTTATAATAATGGCAAAGGTGGAGATGATAATTCAAATAAAGATTAAAACTTCAAAGAAGCAAGATTAAACAATTGGTCCAAACCTTCTATAGAAAATTAGAAATGTATAAAGAATTGCTATCAAAGATTTAATCAAAATCTATCTCATTCATTTGTTGATCAAAATAATGAATCTTTCACTAACTAGAATAATACACCATCTCAGTAATAAGCATATGTTGCCAATGTAGAGTCTTAACCACAAACATTAATCACTACACTTACCCTAATAATATATCTTACATTGTATCTAATTTAGGTGCCTCAAATTTTATGACATCTAAAATGTCTAGCCTATACACCAAGGTTATTATTCAGAAGGCAATCGTACCTGTCAAAAAGTAATAAAGGAGTTTTAAAATGAGTCCTAAAATTATCGTCCCATAAGGATTGATTTCCAATTAATAAGAATTTCTTTATCTAATTGTTTGAACATAATGGATGCGAAATTGCATATTAAAGTTTAAGAATTTAAAACAATTGTCACCAAATCTCAAAGCAGAAATCACAACACACGCCTTAGAGAAAGTTATAGAAGGGAAACCTAGGGCATATGGGTTTACTCATTCAATCATTTATGTTCTTTTTCTAATTAACTTTAGATCTAATGTCCTTATGATTACCAATTATTCATACAGTTGTCACTAATACCCAATGGTCATGTAGTATTAATATTTTTTTCTCCTAAATTAATATCCCCAATGGTCATGTAAGATATCAATTAAAGGAAGCACGAAAAACATATGAACTTGTTAATCTAATAAAAGAGAAAGATTGGTTTGGTCCACTTAATCATTTGTCTCGTTTTATCTTATAGATCTATTAACTAATTGAGGTAGAATCGCTTAACGATGTAATTAATTAGAGTTATGTTACAAGTAGCCAGTTCACAACACACAATCAAAAGTAGTAGGAGAAACACTAATCACAAATAGAAATCAAACCTAGATTTAATTATAAATATTGCATAAAGTCATGAATAAGAGTTTCCATAGCCCTAACTATGGATTTAGCTACTCATGTTGAAGAAAGAAACTAAAGCATTTGTAAACAAAGGCATAAACAATGTCATGAACAAAGATGGAAAACAAGCTGGAAGGAAGATCCTGTTCTCCAAATTCGGTTGCTTGAAGTTTTAAATCCTACAGGAATGTGTCAGAGATCCCATGTAGAAGAGATGAGAGAGTCACATAGAAACATAGAAGGAAAGTCTGAAAATTAGATACTGAACTAAGGGTGAACATGGATTAGATTTTCTAAAAACCAATCTAGATCTATTTAAAATCCAATTATATGGATTGGATTATAAACTAATTCATTTTAATTTTTTCAAAAATCAGTTTAAATTTGATTTTAAAATTTAGATTTGGTTTAAAACTAGTTTTAAATATAATAAAAATATACTATAAATATTTTTATATCATTATTACATTATTATATAAAAAAATATTTAAATTTTATAATAATTAATATAACATTACATTTGCATATATATAATTTTTTGTTAAGCATCAACATTTTATTAAAGATAAAATATAAGTATAAAGGGTAATCTAACCCATTACATCTATATAGAAATTAACAATATATGTAAAGACAATATTTACATATATTTTAATTTATTAATAATTATATTTTTTATTTTTTATTTTATTAAACTAATAAATATTTATATATATTTTAATTTTTATTATTTATCTATTACACAAACTAATTATATGGATCAAATTTTAAACTATTTTATTTTATTTTTAATCAATTTAAAAGTAGTTTTGAAATTTAAATTTAATTTAAAATCAGTTCTAAATTTAGTTTTTGTTGAAACTAGTTTTAAATTTAGTTTTACGTTGAATTAATTTTAAATTTAATTTATTATGATTTAAATAAATGAAAATATTTTTTTCTGTACATAGTTAAAAATTTGATATGTTTACACATTTGTTTGGGATCAAATAGTGCAGGGGTGGACTTAGTCCAAATTTCCAACGAAACTACCAAATGCTAATTTAATTTTTTTAAAATATTAATTTCGCTGAAGGATTAAAAGTGAAAAAGTGAATGGACATCTATTCATAGATTTAAATTTTGTGCTTAGATTTAAATATGTGAATTTTTTTAAGGTAAAACGAATTTGTTATATGTAATGTTCTATTAAATTAGTGTATTTCAAAAATATTTTAACAATATTTATTAATTATATTATATTTTATAGAAGTTTATAAAATATTTATATTATTTTTTGTTGATGATGAAAGTTTACATTAAAACCTATAAAAATAAAAATTAATAATATAAATAATAATAAAATTAATATAGAAGATAGTACTTTCATATATATAGATTTGGATAAATAAAATAATAAAATAAAAAATCTAGTTTTAGAAAGTAGATTTAGACACTAAACTGGTTACACAAATATAGTTAATGAAAAAACCAGTTTAATATAGATTTAGATTTTTTAAACTAATTTAATATTAGTTATGGATTAGATTTATAAAACTGGATTTTTTGCCTAGCCCTATATTGAATCGTTGCCCCCATGCCTTCTTTTATAGGGTTTAAAACTCCTAAATCATGTTAAGTTTATGATTTGCATAGGTGAGCAGGGCTGTACCAAGTGAATGCAACACCGTGCTTATACTAGAGTTATAAGCATGCTTGATTGTGGCACGGTCGTGCATGCTAACAAAGCATGGGCGTGCTAAAACGAGAGGACTAGGCATGCATGATGCTTTAGCATGGGCATGCTAGAAATAAGGAACTAGGCATGCTTCATCTTTAATGGCCTAATTCTCTTGAAATTGAGCCCAGAATATCCCTTGAGCCTTCACACATGCTCATCTACAACAATTAACAAAGTAATTAGTGTAAAACTTCATTCAAATCAATAGTAAGTGAGTATGAACATGCTCAAAAAGTATGTCAAAATACAGACTTATCAGCTATATATAATGGTCAAGAATTTGCATAACTTAGTAATGAATGTTGCATGTATTCCTATAAAACACATTGACAATTCTAAAATTCTATTTGAAAATTCTTCTTTTCCTGTGATTCTAAAAAATTTACTTCATGTTCTTAGAGTTTACAAAAATTTACTCAGTGTGAACATTTTGTAAAGACAAATAAAGTCTATTTTGAAATTTTCTTTAACCATTATTTGTTAAATCTTAGGACACTAAACTAATTTTACTACAAGGGAACGGATTGTATGCCTATAACAACCTTCTCTCAACTATATCAAGTCAAAATTTGTATTCAAACAATGTGTACTTAGCATTTTTGTTGAAATAAGAATGTAAATTTTGATCTTTGATATGCTAAGTTAGCTCATGCAGCTCAGGAAATTGTGAAAAATGTAACACCCCAAATTTTGTAATAATAATATTTTGATTTATTAATGTAAGTGTATGTAAATTGTTATATGTTTTGTGTTTGAGACATATGATGATGTGAATATATATATACATTTGACTGTGTGATGATGAGAATACGTGTGTAGGAATATATGTGAATATATGTAAATTGATTGAAAATGTTTAACTGGTTGTTGAGTTGGAGTGATTAAGAGAATAGGTTAAGTGTGTGTTGCAGAGACATTCTCGCTATAGCGAGAAGGCCCTAGGCGAGTTGGGTGATTTTGTCGCGAGTCCTCACTGTAGTGAGAAAGCGACAGAAGAGGGTGCATTTCTTGGTGCAGTCTCGTTGTAGCGAGAGGACCTTGCTGTAGCGAGATTCTGCAGAAATCAAAGTGTAGTTTCCTTTGATATTTTCACTGTAGCGAGGAAGGGTGTCACTGCTGCGAGGATGTCTCGCTATAGCGAGAACATCGTGACCAAAGGGGTATTTGAGGGGTTTAGGATTTAGGAAATTCATTTCCCATTCCTCTCTTTGAAATCTCTTCGATTCTCTCAACCCCCAATCCTATTTCACCGTTTAAATTGTCTCCAAAACTAATTGGGTGCGAGATTGAAGGTTGGAATCATGTTTAGAGCGTTCAGAGGTAAGTTTTGATGGCT